CTAGGAGATGTGATGGCATGGGGGTGACAGGACATGGGGACATGGTGGCGTGGAGCTGGGGACATGGTGATGTGGTGGAATGGGGCTGGGGACATGGGGATGTGATGGCACAGGACTGGGGGACATGGTGGCATGGGGGCAACAGGGCATGGGGGTGCAGTGGCACAGGGCTGGGGGATATGGGGACATGGTGGCATGGGGCTGGGGGACAGGGGGATGTGGTGGCACAGGGCTGGGGGACATGGATGCAGTGGTACGTGGCTAAGGGACATGATGGTGTGGGGACTAGGGGACACAGGGACATGGTGGCACAAGGCTGGGGGATACAGGGACAAGGTGGCACTCAGCTGGGCGACTTGATGACATGGGTTAGGGGACATGGATGGTGGCACAGGGCTGGGGACTTGATGTGGGGACATCAGGACACAGGGGGTACGTGAGCACAAGGGCTTGGTGACACAGGGGCTGTGACATCTCTGGGACATGGGGGAATGTGAGGGCATGGGGGAGGTGACAGAGCAAGGCTGGGACCTCGGTGTCCCTGCGGAGATGTGGCCATGGTGAGGGCGGGGACCCCGTCCCCTGGCCATGACCTCCCTGCGGTGTCCCCAGTTTTCAGCGCTGGCCCTGAAGTTGGGGCTCCTCTGCTATGGGGGACAGCTGGTGGCCGCGGGGACCATCACCACTGGGGACCTTGTCACCTTCCTCATCTACCAGATGCAGTTCACCGAGGCTGTGGAGGTGAGCCCGAGGGGACGCTGTGTCCCCAGCCTCCTCCCTGCCGTGTCCCCAAGCCCATTCCCTGTGTCCCCATGCCCTCCCCGCTCTGTCCCCATGCCAGTCCCAGGGCATCCCCGTTGCCACCCATGTCCCATGCCATCCCTGCCATGCCCCTTGTGTCCCCATGCCCTTCTCTCCGTGTCCCTTTGTCCTCTCTGCCATGTCCCCATGCCTTCCCCACCACGTCCCTGCATCCTCTGTCCCCCCACACCCTCCTGGCCACGTCCCCATACCTATTTCCCATGTCCCCATGTCCTCTTGAACACATCCCTGTCCCTGTTCTCTGTGTCCCCAAGTCCTCCCCTCCATGTCCCCATGCCCTGCCATCTCCCCATGGCCTCCCTGCCACGTCCATGTGTCCCCTGTTGTGTCCCTGTATCCTCCCTGCCACATCCCCACGCTGGTCCCACTGTGTCCCTGTGCTCTCCCATGTCCCCCCACCATGTCCCTGCATCTTCCATGTCCCCACACCCTCCCAGTGGTGTCCCCATGCCCATTCCCCATGTCCCTGTGTCCTCCTGGACACATCCCTGTCCCAGTCCCCCCTGTCCCCATGTCCCTATGCCCGTTCCCCAGTCCCCACACCCTCCCAGCTATGTACCCATGCCTGTTCCCCATGTCCCCGTGTCCTCCTGGACACATGCCTGTCCTCTGTGCCCCTATGCCCGTTCCCCATGTCCCCACACTCTCCCCACCATGTCCCTGCTGTGTCCCCAGGTCATGCTCCGCTACTACCCCAACATGACCAAGGCCGTGGGCTCCTCAGAGAAGATCTTTGAGTTCCTGGACCAGGAGGAGCAGGTTGCACCCACGGGGACGCTGGCGCCCGATGTCCTGCGGGGCCACCTCCAGCTTGAGGATGTCTGGTTCTCCTACCCCGAGCACCAAGAGCCCGTCCTCAAGGTGGGTACGGGGCCAGGGCAGGGGACATGGGGACATGATAGGGGGGGACACAGTGGGGAGGGCCTGGGGACATGGCAGGGGGATATGGACTTGGTGGGGAGGATGTGGGGACATGGTAGAGACATGGTGGGGAGAGGGCAGGTGGACATGGGGATGCAGAGGTGGTGGGGGGGAGATGGGGA